AAATATATATATATATATATACATAAAGATATATACATACTGTATATGAAGGTGGATGGAGGCACATGTCTAGTATATGCATCCATCCATACATACATATAATATATGGGTATATTATACGTACATACATACATAATACATGGATATACGCACACATGCATGTGCGATCTGTAGCAACGTGTCGTACACCGAAGTCTGAATGAGACTAGCCATATTCTCTGCGGACCAGTTCTGCTGTCTCGTCGTAACTCAGACTAAGCTTCCAGCAACAGCTTCCTGGTCCAATCGTGTAACAGGTGCAACGAGTGGCATCCGTTTGTCAATTGTCCAGGTCTTGATGTCCAAAACACAAGATGACTGCGTAAACGAAACTGGGGTGACTAGCTGTTCCTGAAGCCGCTTGTCAAGCCCTATCATCCAAGCCCCTGCCAAGTTGTTCTAAATAATGCAGTGGTGTTGGCCCGTTGCTTGCTCATGCAAGTACCTGCCCAGGCATGCCCATGTTTCGGAGTCCGAGGGCGGCGCAGCACCCCTTCAGCGATCGGACTTGCACGTAAGACCCCTTCGGCGACCCGAGTCTCATCGCCAAGGCCTGGCCAAGCCGAAAGGGCCTTGCCAACCGACTCTTGTGTAGGAGTGTGCATCCCAACTGACGTGTTGCCGCGTGTTGCAGCAATTTATCATTCCGGCAATAAGATTTGTGCTGAGGCTCCCAAGTCGGCAAATTCGACATTTCAACTCATAAACACACAGCAAAAATGCAAGCCCACACCTTGAGAGCACAAGCCGGAAGCATGCTTGTGGAAAGGTTCGGTCCTCGATCTTTTGTGCTTGCGTGCCGTGTGCAACTAGCAAGCCCATACAAGCACAAGGTACCATGACAAAGGCTATGATCTGCGAGGCCAAGGACACGTTGTCATTGCGGTCGTTGTTGTTGCTTGTGGCGGTGGCGGCGGAACTTGTGGTCGTGGTGGTAGTAGTGGTTATTGTGGTGGTGCTGGTGGTGCTGGCGGTGTTATTGGTGTCGTGATTTTGCTGTTGCTGTTAACTTTGGGTTACTGTGTTGCTGTTGAAGTTGTTGCAACTGATGTTGACCTTGTTGTGTTGCAGCTGTCATTCGTAGCCGTTGTTACAATTGCCTTGCAGTTGTATTTGTTGTTGATATTACTGTTGCTGTTGTTGCGGTTGTTGCTGCTGTCGTTGTTGTTGTTGTCGTTGTTGTTGTGGTCGTTGACAGTTTTTGTCAGTGTTCTTGGTACTGTGCTTCCTGTTGTTGATGTTGCTGATGTTATTGTTGGTGGTGTTGTTGCAGCTGTTATCGTCGTCGTCGTCGTCGTCATTGTCGTGGGTGTTGTTGTTGTTGTCGTCGGTGTCGTCATCTTTGTCGTTGTTGTCGTTGGTGCTGCTCTTGTTGGTGTTGTTGGTGTTAGTACTGCTGATGACGATATTCATGTTGATGTTGATGTTGCTGTTGTTTTGTTGGCGGCGATGGTGATGGTGATGGTGGTGGTGCTGGTGGTGGTGGTGGCGGTGGTGGTGGTGGTGGTGGCGGCGGCGGCGGCGGCGGCGGTGGCGGTGGCCGCGGTGGTGGTAGTGTTGCTCATAATGTTGTCGTCGTTGTTGTTGTCGTTCATGTTGTTGCTGCTGTCGCTGTTGTCTTTGGTGTTACATCTGCTGTTTGTGTTATTGTCCCGTTTTAGATGCTTTGCTACTGTTACTACTACCGTTATTGCTATTGCTATTGTTGTTGCTAGTGTTGTTGCTAGTGTTAGTGGTGTTGGTGGTGGTGGTGGTGGTGATGGTGGCGGTGATGGTGTCCGTGGCAGTGGCGGTGGCGATGGCGCAGTGGTGGTCGTGGGGGTGTTCTTGTTGTTTACTGTTTGCCGATGTATGGCTGTTGTGTGCTGATTGTTGAATCTTGCTTGTTGGCTGTTGTGTGTTGTGTGCTTTTGTTGTGAACGGTGCCTTAGGTGCTATTGAATGTTGTTGTTGAAGTTGTGGTTGTTGGCTGTTGCCTGTTGCTTGTTGTTCATTGGGTGTCGGTTGTGGCGTGTTTGTTGTTGTAGCTGCTGTGGTTGCTTGTTGTGGTTGTGTCACAACGTCACGCAATGTAGGCCCCTGGAAGCCCGAAAGGAATCGAAGCTGAGCGCGACTTCCTGGCTATGAGATTGGCAGATCAGGCATGCCTCCCGACCACTCGCTTGCCAAAAACGTGGGCAAGAGCGATGCCTCCTGCCAATGATGCTGGGAATCTTGTATCGTCTCTGATGCATCCGCAATTGAGTACTCTTTCTAACCAGGGAACGAAGAATGCACAACTCCCGCCCCCTTCACGTAGCCCCTTTCACGTAATGTTTGGGAGCTCCAAGATCTCAGTGGGACAACTTGGGACTACCAAACACTCGCATCCAAAGTATCTTGCAAACCAACTGGTTCTACTGCTCTAAGCAGCCACTGCTGGAAACACCAGTCACTTTACAATTAATAGCAAAGGAATCTCAATGCTGTTAGACTGTCCCATCTTCCGTAGTCTAAGTCTTGGATCACGTCAGCCTCTCTGTCTCTCTCTTTGTCTCCCTCTCTCTCTCGCTCTCTCTCTCTCTCTCTCTCTCTCTCTCTCTCTCGCGCTCTCTTTCTCTCTCATGGCGTCATGTACATTCTGTTGCTGGCTACCGAATCCGACCGTAGCAGCCTTAGCAGCACACCAGCGCACTCTTCCAATCACAGGTTGCACCTGAACATTGCAAAATTCTTGGTGAGGAGGACATCCAGGTTGTCTTCTAAGATATTCTAAGCAACGGTGAGTAATTACAAGCCATGCGCGGCGCCGGAAGCGGCTACTTCGTCATGGAACAGCTTCGCTGGCAGGGGTAGCCACGGTGAGCCTGTGCCCATTGCTACTGACTTTGTGGACGGCTGGTATCATGTGAAGTCAAGTAGTACTCGATGCCACATGTACTGCGGTATTCCCATACACGGCGACATCACGACAAGGGATGAGCAACCCCTGCTCCATCCCAGTTTTCAGACTTTAAACCCCAAGTCATCCCACATCCGACTCCTAACGGCCCAACGCCCTAACACCCACGACGAGGAAGTCTAGGCGGCTTGCAATGGGGAGTTGCAGGGAACACTCAAGACCCTGACAAACCAAAGGCCACCAAAGGCTACACGTCAAGAAGCTCTCAGATCCCAAAAGTCCTTCGGCATCGAGGAGCTACTTGGCTCGGGTCCAAGAAGCTCAGATCTGCCAACAGATATGTTCACTGGAACTCGGAGCGCTTCCCTATGCTCTTGCTTGATTTTGTTCAGTTGTTGTTCTCCAGCAAGTTTCTCATCGAGACTTAAGACTTAAGCATTTCCGGCAGGGACCTGGAGCAGTCAGGCACATCCGGGTGGAACGTGGAAATAGCGACGAATGCTTGGAAGATCGCCCGGCAAGGCTCACCATGACCGTTTCATCTGGGTGTCCGGCAACTTCACATGATATCCGCCTCCCGGAGAGCGCCCCGCCATTGTACCTCAGTTCACCAATAAGGCATCCAGAAGTGATGAATCTCTGCTCCCACTAGCTAGACTCGTTCGGGCCCCGGCTGGGCGCCAAGTTCTCTAGCTAGGAACGTCTGAAAAGGCTGTGTCGTCACCACATGTCACCCAGAATCATGAACAAGGCTTATATTGGGGTGCGCGTGCTTGCGAATGCATATGAACGCAGAAAAAGAGGCCTCGTGTCTGGTATGGCATGGCATTGTATGGTGCTATACGGTACGGTAGGCCAAAGACTGATATGAGATGACAAGGTGTGACATGATACTAGGTCCCAGAAGGTCAGCGAGTAAGTAAGTGATGAGTACGTGAGTGAGGGATTGGGTAGGCAAGTAAGTGGTCGAGCAGGCAGGCATGAACAAGCAAGCAAGCAATGAGGTAAGACAGTCAGTTCGTCAGCCAGTTGGTAGGTATGAATGTGTGTGCATGCATGCTTGTATGTATGCAAGCAGACAGGCAGAGACAGACAGACGGAGACAGACAGACGAAGACAGACAGAAACAGACAGTCAGAGAGAGAGAAACAGAGAGACACAGAGACAGAGAGGTAGAGGCACAAAGAGACAAAGACACAGGGAGACAGACAGACGGAGACAGACGGAGACAGACAGAGAGACAGAGAGACGGAGAGACAGAGAGAGAGAGAGAGAGACAGGCAGACAGACGGACGGACAGACGGACAGAGACAGACAGCCAGAGAGACGGACAGAGACGGACGGAGACAGAGACAGAGTCGGAGAGAGACCGACGGAGAGACACAGAGAGACAGACATTGACAGACAGACACAGACAGACAGAGACAGACAGGGACAGACACAGACAGAGACAGACAGGGCAAAGAGAGAAACATACAGACGCAGACAGAGACACAAACAAACAAACAACCAGCCAGCCAGCCAGCCGACCGACAAAAGGACGCACATACATTCATACACGCGTACATAATTACATACGCACACACACACAGACATATATATATATATATATATATATATACACACATGCACAAAATTGCACAAACACGTACACATGCTTGTACACATATGTACATATATAAACATACATACCTGTATGCACGCTATGTGCGCTTCAGCGCACAGCTTTGTTTAGCCCAGCAGTCGTTTACAACCTGCAGTAGCACTCACTGAGCCTCACTGCCCTGCAAATACCGAAGGCGAGGATCGGACCACTCCCCTTTGTCCCACGAAATGGTTCAAGGCTTCAAACAGTTGGATCAAGAGAACGTGCTGGGAAACCGTGCTGTCTTTGGCTGTGCTCGACACAGCGCGGGAGTCTGAGGAGGGGAAATCGTGTCTCAGGAACACAAACGGCGACGTCACGGATCCTCTGACTCTGAGGGGGGTTGCTAAACAAAAACCACGCACAACTCACATCGACGTGCTCGCAACGTGCACCTGAAGGACATGGCAGTGCCGTCAATTTTTGCTGCTGCAGTCAGGACTCCTTCCCTCTCAAGAGAACAAGCGCGCGAGTGAAATCGTGCACTTTGCTCCGCTGGGCCTCAATCCAAAATCCAAGCGACGCAATGCTACTGCCATCACAACACAGTACAAGCAACGAGCACGAGGTGCGCAGGATAATACAGGGAGCAAAGAGCAAACTTTCACCAGGCACCACCTCCCCGCACTGCAGCAGGCATGAAGCAAACAGGCTTCTTCTGGATGAATCGCTGAGACCTCTGCCATGGTCTGAGGCGAAGCATAGTTGGCGCCACCGATGCGCGAATCGTAGCCTGCCTCTGTGGTAGTTCGGGCATGCGGCCCGGCGTCTTTCCGGCCGTCTCTCCCTTTCTCTTTATGTTTATGTCTGGCTTTCTGTCCGCTCGGCAGACTTCGGCGTTAACCAAGGCAGAGGCATCTGTCTCTGTGTGTCTGTCTCTGTCTCTGTCTCCGTCTTTCTGCCTGTATCTGTGTCTGTGTCTGTGTCCGTGTCTGTCTCTGTCTATCGGTCTCCGTCTGTCTGTCTCCGTCTTTCTGTCTCCGTCTTTCTGCCTGTGTCTATGTCTGTGTCTGTGTCCGTGTCTGTCTCTGTCTCTGTCTGCCTGTGTCCGTGTGGGTGTCCGTCTCTGTCTCTGTCTCTGTCTGTGTCGTCGTCTGTCTGTCTCTGTCTCTGTCTCTGTCTCTGTCTCTGTCTCTGTCTCTGTCTCTGTCTCTGTCGCTGTCTGTCTGAATGTCTGTGTCTCTGTCTGCGTCTCTGCGTCTCCGTGTCTGTCTGTGTGTCTGGCTGTCTGGCTGTCTGCGTGTCTGCCTGGCTGTCTGTCCGCCTGGCCGGCCGGCTGTGGTTAGGGGTGCGACGACTCCGCAAGCGCAAGTGCATCCCCACTTATCGTGGGTGTGCCAGCGGATACACAAGCTTCGCAAGCGAAGGACTGCGGGTAGCGAGGCAAACGCACCACACTCAGGTACTAAGCAGTCTTCTGTCAGGAGTTTGCACTCAAGTCATGATTATGCCAACAGATTACCCTGCCAGCGCATACAACAGGTCTTCGCCAAGGTGATCACCAGGTCTTCAGGTGCAAGCCATGAGACATATTAGTTCCTGTGGCTCCGGACTGTACCATGTTGAAGCCACACACTGATACAAACCGTACCAACATGCAGCATCGCAAGTATGGACAGTGCATCACATATGCCACAATCATAACATCTTCCCGCATGTCGTGCCTCTATCGTTCGGGGGGAAACCAGCAATGGACAGGTTCAAGAACAAACAAGGGGTAGCACTGGGGAACCACATCAGGATCTGTTGTGTCCCCCTTGTCCTGTCACGACTATTGCCACTGCTTATCAGAAACACAGGAAATGACTCCCAGCATGAAACATTGATCGCCATTGTTCTGCCCCTCTCCCTCTCCCTCTCCCTCTCTCTCTCTCTCTCTCTCTCTCTCTCTCTCTCGCTCCCTCCCTCCCTCTCTCCCTCTCTCCCTCTCTCCCTCTCTCTCCCTCTCTCTGTCTCTCTCTCTCTCTCTCTCTCTCTCTCTCTCTCGCTCTATATCTTTCTTTCGCAAGGGTAAAGCGAGAGGATGTAGCCCCCTCCTATGGAAAGCAGGTGAAGTTGCACTCAAAATCTTCCACAAAGCACTCATAACTAGCCAACACTCTCTCTCTCTCGCTCTCTCTCTCTCTCTCTCTCTCTCTCTCTCTCTCTCTCTCTCTCTCTTTTCTTTCGCCAGGGCTATGGTGCAGGGGCTCTGTCTCTCTTTGCTTTGCTTTGCTTTGCTTGGGGCGTGAGTCGAGGGCAGTCCACCGGACCCGCGCAGTTCGCGCCACCCCGTCCTTCATGTTGTGGGACGGTCTCAGCTTTACACCAGGTTTGTGTCCCTGTTGTTCAGGGTTCACTTAGAACGAATGCCTCCTTGAAGCCCACACACACATACACACACGCAGACTCTCTCTCGGGCGCCAGGCCCTCCCGTCGCCGTCGGGGGATGTGAAAAGAACGCACTAGGGCACACGATTGCGGCTGATGTTCGTAAGCAATGAGATGATGGGGAGATGAGGCATGAGAAAAGGCTTTGAAATCCAGTGCGTGGCAAAGTAGGTGTGCCAGATGAGTTGGCCCCCACGACAAGACATGCATAAGAGGAATTTATCTTTTTCGCTGCCTCTCTCTTCTCACTATGCAATCCCCGTCTTTCCTGCCAGAACATCGTGGAAATTGGGTATCACTCCGGCTGCAGTACAACTCGCTGAGATGCCGTATGCTGTACAGCAAGCCCATGAGCGACGCGTGCACAGGCTCTTCTAGGAATTCTGTCCAGACATTGAACACCGGAAACCTGATCCATCAAAGCCAAGGAACAAACTTCAAGGTGCGAGTGGAAGCAAGGCACTATAAGAGCGATGCAAGAACACGTGGAGCGTACCTCACTCCAACCACTGGGCATTCGGGGCAGACCTCCGCAACTTCTTTCCCAAAGCGAGTGCTTTCGCTTGAGGACATTCTGCACGGACCTTGAATAGTTGTGGCATGGCACGAGAGTTCTCGACGGTCAGGTCCAGTAATCTGAAATGATGCTTTCGCGCTCGTCGCGTCGCATTGCTCGCATTGCGCATCGGATCTCCCAGAGAGGAGGGCAAACACCGACCTTACGAGCAAGGCGCAGACTCTGTGAAGGCGGCTTTGGCGACTCTCTAAGAGTGAGTCTGTGTCTGTGTCAGTCTCTGTGTGTGTGCGCGTGTGTCCCTCTCTCTCCCTCTCTCTGTCTCTCTCTCTCTCTCTCTTGCTGTTTTGCTGCTTGTTTGTTTGAGAAGCTCAACACCAGAAGGATATCTAATTCCCGGCCCCTGAGGCCCAGCCTGGGTGCAAAGCAGCACCTCGTTGGGACCAAGCTCTGGCCTTCTCCGAAACATGCCGAGGGCGGGCCAGGGCGGGGGTGGTTGTTCTCAGTTCCTCGCGCTGGCAGCTGTTCTTGAATGCGCTGTAGCTTGAGAAGGAAACCCACAGCTCGTGGTCGGGAGTCAGGAGTTCGGTTTCAGGTGCGCTTTGCTCCAGCTAACCTTCCACCTTTTTGGGGTTGGGCTGCACCATGGCAGGGTCCAACAGCCACCTGCAAACGCGACATCTCCAGTTTGGATTCGGGCTCAAAGGGAGAGTCTGAAGCCAAGCTTTCGGGCTCAAACCACAGGTCTTCGGCACAACACGGCTCTCGAAGCCCATCGCGCCTTTCGCTGCCTGGCTTCCGTCGATACTTAATGCTTAAGCCAGCGGGAGATGTGGCGAAGACAAAACCTCCTGATACCCTAATCTAGTGGAGCACCCGGGATCGCAACAGTATTCCCAACTTGCCCCGGTCCCAAGAAAGCGATTTGCTCGCAGAAGTTGAAACGTTGGCACCGATTGAAACTGCCCGTCACATATGCTGTGAAGCTGAGCCCCATCAAGACAAGCCCGAAACCCTTCAACTCCAGAAGATCGATGGCAGAACGTCAATATGTCTGTGGCTGAACCCGCAAGATCCCTTTGCAAACCACACCGCCCAAACCGCAGAAATGGACTTTATGCATGAAAGGGCTGCCGTCACACTAAGCATGAAGGCAGCCCTTCGGGATGCGAGTACTCAGGTGTTGTCCTTGCAAGCTCTTGCGCCCTTGTGCGTTCTTCAGCGCACAGCAGGGTCTTCAGGGCCTTTTTGATAGAGGTGTCTCACTTGAGGCCCCAATGGGGTAAGTACTAAGAGGCGGGGTTTAGATCTGCACTCATGTGCTCTTCGAAGCCCACGGACGCCTCAGCAAGGCAAGCAGGCAGGCGCTTGTCACTGCTGCGCGGCCGAGACCGCCCCAACCTCACCGGAAACCACAGCCCCTACATCAACACTCATCCACCCTGATCTCTCATGCTAGTCGGCTGAACTGAGAATTTCGTTGCCCCCTTTCTCCGTTTCACACGAGCGGGGCTTATGAAGCAGCGAAGCCCCTGAAACCGAAAAGTCCCAAGCCAAAACCCGATTCTTCTAGTGATGGACTTCAGGGTTCCCGAAGGAGACAAGTCAGCTCAGAAGGCCAGAAAGCAGTGAACGTAAAGACGCCCTCCGCCCTGCAGCTCGATCAGGCAGTCCCGAAGAAGCCTGGATGCCGGGTTCACGAAAACGATTTCGGACGCAGAGTTCAGGCTTCGGGATCTGAGTGTGTGGTGGCTGGTGGGGGTAAAACCCCCTTCGGAAGCTGCAGGCTGTACTGGTGAAGTGGTGGGTTCCGCACCGTACGGGCGTAGGGAGACGGCGAGCCTCATCAGCTGTTCCTCCTTCGGCACACGCATGTCTGGCACCTTGTGATAATCACCAGGCGTGGCGCTGCGAATATGGGACTCCGGGGGAAGTTTTGCTTGTTGTTTCGGGCTCCTCGCAGGATCCGTGAAGCTTGTTTAGGATTGACTTGAATCTCAACAGGGAGCTCGAAACCCCAGTGCCCACTAGGACTCTGTATCCGGAACGCAATGACGAATGCTATACTGCTACCTGAGCCGCGCACCGGGCAGTGCAGGAATCGAGGAATCTCCAGGCCCATAGATGCGGCCTCCTCTTTCACAACCGGACCATAAGGCAAGAACCGCCGAGGCATGTCGAACTCCTCAGTGTTCGCAAGAGGGCCCGCTCCGAGTGCTATGTCTCGGGCAACTCAGACTTAATTTGCTCAGGACTGGAGGCTGCACAAGGCTGATTAGGATGTTTCTACATCAGGAAAAGGACAGCCCTTTCAGGAGTAATGGTTCATAATGCTGGTCACACATGACGAATGCTGCACCGGCAGCATTCGTCGTCCTCTTCCTGCTCCTGCTCCTCCTCCCTATCATCATGCGAACCGTAGCCATATATCGGTATACTTGACATGTGTTAGCGAGTGGCCCAATGATCCAAGTTGCCGGAAGTGACACGCCTTCCCATGGCCATGCTTTCAAGTTTTCTGGTGCAGGAGATGGGATCTCAGCTTGCATGCACACGAAAGCTGTTATGCCCGCGTCGAGCATCTTCTTCAAATGTCGCCGTCCATCCAGCTTGCTTGGGAAGTCACCCATGGGATCACAGTAGGGGTATCTTCCGACCATCAACACGTCTCGCAAAAGCCAGTTGCAGAAGCCTCTTTGGCTTCCATCACCTCTTGTGTAATATGAAGGGAAAGCATAATAAGCCGGGTCCTCCAAGTTCTCCCGTACTGGACCCATATCACGAGAGATGCGAATCTCGTTGGCTAACATTTCCAACTCTTCCAAACGTGGAGCAGCTGCTGCCGCAGGCTGACCGAGCCGGCGACTGCGTCGAAACCCACGCCCTTGTGCACAAAGGGAGCCGAAGGTAAAGGATTGGCTGACGAGCGTGACTCCAACGGCACCTGCTAGGCACCCGCGACGCTGGACCAACCTCGCACTCGCACTTTGATAACGTTGCTGGACATGGGCCACTCGCAATACATGTGGAGGGCAAAGTGCAGTCATGATCATTGTAGAGCACAAACCAAGTCTACCAACCTAATTCCTGGCTCAGCTCAGGCCCCTTTACAAAACGACCAACATGAACAAGTCTCATCCTGTTTGCAGGCTTGATGAACTGCGATGTTTTGCTTACGGCAGGTGCCAGTCTAGTATAGTCTAGCTGAGTTTAGCTGTGCAGCTGCTTGCTCTTTCTCGCGATGTTGGCTGGCGCCTCTGTTGCCATTTTCGTTGACATGACGAGGATCGGTCGCCTCTACGATCCTGTCCATACACAAGACCCCGTACACATCATCGACAAAACGATGTTCACAATGTGCATCGGCTGTGGCTATCCTCCACCGAAGCGAGCCCAATCAACCAATCTGCATGACAACGGACCAAAAGCCGTACCGAGATGTTGGACAACAAGCTGCGAGAATCCAAGTAGATCCTGCCCCGAAGAAACGAACTCCAAGACATGCAAGTGACTGAAGTTCTGGATGACGGCTTCCGCGAGCAAGATCCACTCCACAGGCTCACACAAATACCGATGATCTTTGGGTTGGGCCGCAAGTGGCCGTGTGTGTTCTGTCAACCTGTAAACCTGCCGTCCCGGAGCTTTTCTCCATTAAGCACGAAGTCTTGAGGCGACTTGTCCACGGTTCCGGGATCGTGAAGGCTTGAAGCCCTGAGAAAGTGCTGTCTGCTTCGTAGAGTAGGGAGTTTAAATGAGCAGCCTGGGGCACATCCTGGAACCGCAGTTCAGCCTGCCAACGGTGTCCGCTTGAGGGCGGCAGCAAAGCACTCAGCGACTCCGATGACTGTCTTGGTGAATCTCCGTGAGTCGCCTCATTGGTACGATTAAGCATGACTGTCGACAGGTTGCAAGCAGCGCGGCCTGTGAACCCTCTACGCAATAGCAGCTTCGGGCGTCGTCGCTGATCAGTTTGGGGACGACTGCTGGCACTTGGCATCCTGGATTCTCTAAGAGCACCCCGTACTCGGAGCACTCATGATCCGCTTAGCTCCTGGCCTTTCTCCATCTTGAGCTGCTGTAACACTTTGGCAGGGTCGTACCTCATGCCACCCCCCATGTCGTGTGCTTTATCTACCCAGAACTTGCGAGACCTCTGTTGCTGGACGAGTGTTGGGCAACGTCTCTGCAAAGCCCCACACTGTCACACAGTCGGCGAAGTTTTGTAAGTGCTCCGATCAGGGTCGAATACAAGCATCGAATGCGTGTGTATATATATATATATATATATATATCTATATATTTATATATTTATATATAATATATTTATATATTCAGCAGCAGCAGCAGCAGCAGCAGCTGCAGCAGGAGGAGCATCAGCAGGACCATCAGCAGGAGCAGGAGCAGGAGCAGGAGCTCGTAGCAGTAGTAGCAATAGCAGTAGCGCAGTAGCGGCAGGATTAGTGGTAGTAAAAGTCGAAGTGGTAGTACAGTGGTAGTAGTAGTAGTAGTCGTCGTCGTCGCCGTCGTAGTAGTAGTAGTAGTAGCAGTAGTAGCGGTAGTAGCAGCAGCAGTAGCAATAGGATTAGTAGCAGAAGCAGAAGAAGAAGTAGTCGCCGGAATATCATAAACTAGGATGTCTGTTGTTGATGGTAGTAGGCGAAGTAGTAGTAGCAGCAGCAGAAGTAGTAGTAGTAGTAGTAGTAGTAGTAGTAGTAGTAGTAGTAGTAGTAGTAGTAGTAGTAGTAGTAGTAGTAGTAGTAAGTAGTAGTAGTAGTAGTAGTAGTAGTAGTAGTAGTAGTAGTAGTAGTAGTAGTAGTAGTAGTAGTGTAGTAGTAGTAGTAGTAGTAGTAGTAGTAGTAGTAGTAGTAGTAGTAGTAGTAGTAGTAGTAGTAGTAGTAGTAGTAGTAGTAGTAGTAGTAGTAGTAGTAGTAGTAGTAGTAGTAGTAGTAGTAGTAGTAGTAGTAGTAGTAGTAGTAGTAGTAGTAGTAGTAGTAGTAGTAGTAGTAGTAGTAGTAGTAGTTAGTAGTAGTAGCAGTAGTAGCAGCAGCAGCAGGAGTAGTAGTAGTAGTAATAATAATAATGGTAGCAGTGGCACTAGCACTAGCACTAGCACTAGCAGTAGCAGTTGCTGTTGTTGGTTGTAGGAGTACGGGTAGGATTAGAATGAGACAGTCGTCATGGGTGGAGGGTTGGCAAGTGCCTACTGACCACTGCCAAAGACGATGATGACACCGTCACTGACAACGGACTGACATCATTAACAACGAGCGACAAGCACATGTTCAGAACGATAATCCTGGTGGCGACGGCGGTGATGATGGATTTGAAGACGCTGGCCAGACCAATGATGGGGTTGGTGGTGTAGATCACGGTAGGAACAATTTACATCATACGTTATCACAAGCGTAAGTGCACATAGACATCGACATCACCATTGCCACCGCCACCACCACCACCACCACCACCACCACCATCAGCCTCGTTCTTTGCCATCACTACCAAGACCAACCGTATCGTCAACATACCATCACTGGACTGGAACCCTAAGAGCAAATGCGGAATTCATGTGTACAGGTTTGGGGATGTTCGGAGGTTTCGGCCCTGGCCACAGGAGTGAGATGCATTATGTCCATCATCTGTTGATACATCGGGCTATGCGGCATCAGGGTCTTTTTGCTTTTGGGGGGGCCAGTGAGCTGGGAGGGTTCAGACCGCTCAGATGCTACAAGCACTTACTTGGAGCCACGCTCACCAACGAGCGCCCCCCCGCACGGGGCAGGCCTCGGGCCGAAAGGTTGGCTTTGGTGGCTCGACTCATTTGAAAGATGCAGGTCTGTTTATGATGTAAACACCAAACTCGTCAGGAAGACTAACAAAGAAGCAAGCGGCAGCCAGTCCACTGCTCGTGGTGCATGCATACCTTCTGATGGCCTGTCTGTGTGTGTTGTGCCTGTCTGCACATCGTGATAGCAGATTCAACCGTTGAAGTGCAAACCTACTGCTTGCAGTAGCAGGACTCGAACAGTCTCTTAGCCCGGTGTCCAACACCTCATCCGTCAGCACAACCTCTCGCCCGGTGCCGAGTTCTGGAAACATCAACTCTAAACACGGCAGCATCGGCGCTGACTTCCAATCGAAACTCCGAGGTGCAGAAAACAGACCAAACGAATTTAATGGTAGAGTCGAAAACAACAAAGAGAGCGTTCAATGGAGTGTTCGTGCGGCTCAGTAGTTGGAATTTGACTGGACTCATGATTATTACATGCTCCGGGGGCATGGCAAAGACAGCAGGCTCGGGGGAATCTGCTGAGAAGCAGCCCACTCGAACCTCGGCTTCTTTCGGATAGCTTTGCTTTTTCTTCCGTACTATCTTTCAACCTCTTGAAGGCTTTGCCATATTGTTGTGGTCCACATAGGATCAGATCAACCCGCAGTCCATTTCGGGGGATCGGTTCTGTCCAGCTGTCTAGGGATCTCACGGGCCAGTGAGTAGTGTCCGATACACCTGCCAGGACAAGGCCGTGGAGATGGAGCCCACTCCCGGCAACTGTGGCACCAACCTTTCGTTCCTTGACATTATGCTCAACTGCAATGGCAGCGACAACACTGTTTATCACTTACGGTATAACTGGTTTTCTGGCAGCGGCGATGACGATAGCCACAGAGTGTCCATAGCCATTGCGGCACGTGAAATCCATATGATGATAGGATTCTGACCCGGTAAACTCAGCAGCACCTCTCATAGCACCGCAAAGAAGGTCATAAGAAAAACATTCATCGCACGATACTGCTCCTGCTCTTTCCATCGTTGCGACTGCAGGACAACTCCGTACTACGAGTACTGTGACCTCTACCACTGTTCCTACTACTAACGATGACGACGATGACTACTAGTGCTTTTGCTCCTTCTGCTGCAACTTCTACTTAACGACGACAACGGACGACGTCAAGGCGGACGACGCCTCGACTACTGCAACGCCGACGACTATGCCACTACCACTTCTTCACTACTAGTTTTGATACGACGACTACTACTGCTGCTACTCCTGCAGCTGCTCCTGCTTCTGCTGAATACGACTACTAAGGACAGCAACAACAACAGCAGCAATAGTAATAGTCATCAAATATACCAATATATATGCCACAGATACTCAGAACAGCGCCAGCAGCAGCAGCAGCAGCAGTAGTAGTAGCAGCAGCAGCAGGAGTAATAGAAGTAGTGGTAGCAGTATAGTAGTAGTAGTAGTAGTAGTAGTAGTAGTAGTAGTAGTAGTAGTAGTAGTAGTAGTAGTAGTAGTAGTAGTAGTAGTAGTAGTAGTAGTAGTAGCAGTAGTAGCAGTAGCAGTAGTAGTAGTAGTAGTAGTAGTAGTCGTAGTCGTAGTCGTAGTCGTAGTAGTAGTAGTAGTAGTCGTAGTAGAAGTAGTAGTAGTAGTAGTAGTAGTAGTAGTAGTAGTAGTGTTGGTAGTAGTAGCAGTAGTAGTAGTACTACTGGTAGTAGTGGTAGTCGTAGACGTAGCAGCAGTAGCTATTAGCAGTAGCAGTAGTCGTCGTCGTAGTAGTAGTAGTAGCAGTAGTAGTCGTGGTGGTGGTGGTGGTGGTGGTGGTGGTGGTGGTGGTGGTGGTCGTGCGAGTAATAGTCGCCATGGCTGTGGTCGCAGGACTTTCAGCGTATAGCACGAGTTACTTGGTGGAAGTACAAGCAGCTTGCCTGGCATGCTGCCCCGAGCACAGAAGTCGAAACTGATAACACGGGCAAAGCCTCCGCAACGGTGGGAACCACCTGCGCTGATGCGACATGAGTTCCTTAGGTATTATATAGTGGATCTCAAAAAATATGACAAATCGGACATCCACCGTATTGCCTGCTACTTACTCGCCAGATTAAGGGCAGACACGCATTCTACATTTAATCCTTGGGGCTGGGGGTTGCGTGGGTGGGAAGAGGTGGGAGGAGGAGGTGGGAGGAGGAGGTGGGAGGTGGAGGTGGGAGGTGGAGGTGAGGAGGGAGGAGGTGGCGTAGGCGGTGGGGAGGGGGGTTGCGAGGTGGGTAGGTGGGAGTTTGAGGGGGCAGGTGGAGGTGGGGAAGCCGAACGAACCGCAAGTGCCGCAATAATCGAATACCAGACCGCACAACATAGCAGAAGTATTGGTGTCGACCGAACCGTCCGAAGACAAGCCCGAAGAAGCATGTACGGGGAAATTCCCAGATATATTGATATGACCCATGTGCTCGTGAGCACAACATACACCTCTTGCATGTCGTGCACCCCACGCTATGTTGAAAGTAGTGTCTGTGGGCGTGCTGTGCTGGTGCAACGGTGTAAGGAAAACACGATTGCTACAATCTTCGTCGTCGTTGATTCACTGCGGTTCAAGCCCTGCTGCCTCGCCGCGGCTCGGATTGTTCGGAGCCTCCAGAAACTGAGCATCTTCCAATCGTGCAATGACTCAAGCATCAGGGGCTGGAATTCCCAGTTACCAACACATTCTTATGGCGTGAACAACGACATCGCCTGCTGTTTCTGTCAGAATGGCTGAATGCTACCATGCTCATGTAGCCTTGAGGATATAAGTCTGGAGCACCAGCTATTCTATGATAAGCTCGTGGCGGCGACAACCAGCATCATGGCGAGAATCTTGATCAAGCGCGGCCTTACGAGGCAGTCGGCTGATGTTGAAAGGGCTGCCTTGGATGTACTGTTATCCTGTAAAAGCCTAAGGACCCCAGCCCCCGCTTGCGACCGTGTCGGCGCACAACCCTCAACTTCACAACATGCTCTCCAAACATCAATTTGCCCTGCAGGAAATCGGCAACACAGTTGTCCCCGTCGTCATCATCATCATCATCATCACCGTTATCTTCGTCGTCGTCATCCTCACTGTCATCATCATCAGCATCATCACCACTATGATCGCCATCATCATGATCACCATGATCATGATGATGCACATGGTGATGAACATCGTCATTCTGATCATGTGCACCTACCAAGACATGTGCCAGGACACATATATATATATATATATATATATATATATATACATACACACATACACACACATACTGAACCACAGAGCAGCAACATCGAGGCCGTAGCAGGGCTTGCCCTCGCGGCAGCTGCTTTTCCCACATGATTGCCTGGCGATCACGAGCAAATTATGCTTCTGGTCCTGGCAACAGCCCAAGAGATGGAAGACCACGACTAGGCAGTATACTGATCGAAGCAAAAAGGACTCGAGGATTCCTAAAGGTAGTGAAACAGCGGGAGTGGCGACGGTGGGCAACATTGCCAGCGATAGTCGACGAAGAAACTTGTGGGCAACGGAAACAAAAATTGCGTTTGCGAACAGCCTAGCAAATCACGGTGGCGTTCTCTGGACTGTGACAGTCGGCTATCCACTGATTATGTCGGCCATGGGAGATTGTTTGCACAGCCTGCGCTGCAGGCAGTTATTGACAGGAGCATATGCCAACAATCAGGAGACACGCTCTAGCGAGGGTCTGTGAACTCAGTAGTGGTGCTGATACTGCAGCTCTTCGAGCATGTGCGTTTGTGGCTCAGGAAGCGCCTAATAGTTGTGGCCAGAGTTTAGGGACCCGGATCAAGAGGAGACCGACATCAAAGTGTCTCTGTAAGCTGTATCATGTATCTAAGCTATGTGTGGGTGTATGAACGCAAGAACAACAGCACAAACCGGTGAGCTCACAGCATCGATGCTACTGTGGCATCGTGCTGAATCGGTGCAGCGGCGCCTGCGCTTGCTTTTGGAGCTGGACTAGCTCCGGGGCATTGTCCCCACGCGATGTGTCCGGATCTCCCCAGAGGAGGATATTGCGCAGAAACCTGCAAACATAAACCACAATGCATTCTTTTTTGTGAACAACAGGCTCACGGCGAAGGAGAGGTACTCAAAAGCTCTCACAACAATGAGTCGCCGCTCCATAGATATCAGCAGAGCAAACCAGAATTCAAGTATTATTGTATCATGCAAGTTGAGACCAGGTGTCTTGAGCTTGGCAATAATGTTAATAATGTCTCGGAGGAAGTCATTTAAAAGAGTGTTCAAAGCTCAGAACGAACATTACCGTACCTTCGCTGCGGGGACCCTGGCCTCAGCATCGCCGTGATGGTCCTGCAGCGCTACAATCCGCTAAACAGGGTGCAGCGTCGACTCCCCAAGCCAAGCGAGCTTGTGTCTGAACAACAAGTTGCACCGTAATTCCGATGAAGTTGCTTAACCTATGTGGCATCACCGCCCAAAGGATCTCAGGCTTGAAATGCTCCCTAAGGTGAAAGCGAGCGGTGTCTGCATCCATGCCACATCAGGGTTTCGGAACTCTGCGGCTGAGTACGAACGAACTCCGACGCCAACACGACATGATCCATCTGCAGCTACGCCCTAAAACAGGTGATGCCTGCCTCATTGCTTCTCATGCAAGAGTCAGCCCTGATGCAGCAGATCTTGTAGACACAGCTGCGAACATCAGGGCAGGATGCGGGGTGGGACTGCCAGACATGACGGCCATAAGCGCATCACCGTGAACTGCGAAACCATGAATTATCTCGCCGATCCTCTCATACTGAGCCTGGCCCACTTCGGTGAGATGGGGAAGAGCCTGGTCACGCGATGAAGCTTATGAGCAAGGGTTTCCTCAACAAAACCAACAGCAATCGAATGGCGTTTCATTTGATCGGTTTGTAGGTGGGCACGGGAGCTTAGCAGGGAAGTCATCCTTGATTCGAGGAGAAAGTTTTTGTGCTTTCAAGCCTTCCAGCCGCAAGGTTGGAACTGCGCCAACGGTGGTCACCCAAATGCAGGTATGGTTTAGTCACACACAGCAGCTTACTGTGCGCTTTTTTGTGCATGTCTGAGTCAGCTCAGACTAGCGGATAACTTTTACAACTTATAACCGGGCTGTTAAGTGCCCGTTACAAGGGTACATATACGGGAACGCACAACGTCATGTGCACCAGGAAACCACCCAGAAACCACCGGGGAGAGCATCAGGAGACCACCGGGAAACCCCCGAAGACCACAGTTGGCGGGATTGACGACCACGGCCGAAACGCTTCCACCGTTTATTGGCGAATTCTGAAACAAGCGCAACATGCTATGCTTCCCCCAGATGAGCAACATGCTTGCCCCCCACGCAACCCCCGCACGAGGCGGCAAAGCTGCCCCGAAATCTCCAAATCTCACAATTGACTGTGGTGTCCTGGTGGTCTACTGGCGGTCTCCTGCTGCTGGGGTTTCCTGGTGGTCTACTACTGGTATCTTGGTGGGCTGCCGGTTGCCCCAAGGATCTGCGGGTGGTCTCTTGCTGGAGGTCGTGATCGTCCTGGTCGTTGTGGTCGTCGTCACGGTCCTGGTATGTCCTGGTAGTCGTGGTGGCCGCAGTTGTCTTGGTCGTGGTGGTCGTCACGGTGATCCATCATTGTTTGGATCTACACTGGCATAATTTTCTCCAGACATCTCCAGACGATAAGCCTAAACATGAGTACAGTTATAACGACAGGTCCCTGCGATCCTTCGAGCGTGTTTTTTCCTGAGCGGTCTGAGGTGTTGATATGCCCAACCATGAAGCTGAACTCCAATATTCGCAGTGCTCATCTCTATAATTATGTTTGCCTTGTATGTCTCGGCAATCAGTATATTATGTGATGGTCTAATTAATACGGTTCATCCCAGACTCTGGTCTGCATATGACAGCAAGTGCAAACTGAGTGAGGATGCGGTATATGAAACGGCTACTCTCTTGGAAGCAGTCTTACAGTAGCCAGTTTGTCCGAACTGTCATTTGTAGTTTTCTGTTGTGTGCTGCTGTCATACGGTTCGGTTATGAGCACAGTTCTAGCTGGTGCTTCATGCTTGTTCCTTTGTATACCGTAGGTCGTATTGTATACGTCCCAGTGCAGGCATCACTACACCATCCGAGATACCGCACCTTGGATTTTCCAACAAGAACTACCAAGTGACAGAAACACATCCCCCCGGCATGGACCCTAAGGATAGGATTGAGCATGGAAACCCTGTCGGACTGGGCAAGTAGATGAAAGTCGAAACATGTCATGTCTTGGTGCCTCGATGGTGCAGTCCAGCACTTCCGGCATCCACGCGGTATGCTCGATAGCGAGTAATGAGAGGTTCCAATGCCTCTGCTCGGCATTGAGAATTCGGCAGTAGGAGCGATTCGCTCGGGCCTCGGTTGTTTGAGCCTGGAAGCAAGAGAACTACAGTATCTACACTCTATACATCTCTATACTGTACAGTAGCAGGTGTGCGCAAGACTGAAGAATCGACATGATGGGAACCCGCACAATCCTCCAAACCAGACTGCTCGTGGATAAAGAGAGACTCGAACGAGACTGCATTCCAGGGTGTGGTGTGGAGCGAGAAAAGTTGAAAGATCAAACTTCGGCTTGGTCACAAGCCCACGCCAGAAATCAATAAACTGAAAGGAGTCCTGAAGACCAAGCATTGCCCAATGTAAACCCTCACCAGGCTAAAAGACTAACGCCGACACACCGACAACTTAAAAGGGAGAGCACTAGTCGTTGTTCGTGGAATGCTCGTGCAAACTTCGCATATCATGAACCACACAGGACCATCTCACCCACGTCCATGACGCGGGCACACTGTAATGGGAAGCCTAGGCTGCCGAACAAAGCCATACCGTACCGGGATCCGAAAAGAACCCCCCAGAACCTCAAGATCCTGAAGCCATCCATTGCCTGGCCTTACAGCCTCCGTCATCATCTCGTACGCGGCCGCACTGATAGGTGGCCTGGTGTGTCTGGCATGGCCCTCATCATAAATGAGAGCTGATGCTAGCGTTCTGTAGAAGCACTTGGTCGAGAAACCTTCGGCCGTAGTCACTTCAACAGTCTCTCAGGCAGGGCTGCAGCGATGCTACGACCAGTAGGACTTTACACAATGCTTCCATCGGAACCCGTACGACTATCGACATTCTGTTAAGATGCCAAAAAGCTATCGCAAATTGCAACGTCTCGTGGGGGTGAGACAAGGGGTGGCTAGGGAAGGCTACTTTTTGACAGCTTTTTTACATCTTGTTTATTGCTTGTTTACAGCTGGCTGAATTTCCCCGGAACAAGCTGGAATGGAAGGTCAGAAGTTTTGGGGAGCCCTATACCCCACATTAACAGCTGCAGGTACCATCAAACCCTCTTACTGTACCCTGCCACTGTACTATTGCCGTACTATTACCTTCACTATTGCTGATAAAGCTATTACAACAAGGACTACTACTAACACTCCTGCCGCTGCTGCTGCTACGACTACTACTACTACTACTACTACTACTACTACTACTACTACTACTTCTACTACTACTACTACTACTACTACTGTTGTATTACTGTAACGATGTGCGCTATTTGTGTACTACTACTACTACTACTACTACTACTACTACTACTACTACTACTACTACTACTACTACTACTACTACTACTGTTACTACTACTACTACTACTACTACTACTACTACTACTACTACTACTACTACTACTACTACTACTACTTCTACTACTACTACTACTACGACTACTACTACTACTACTACTACTACTACTACTACTACTTTACTACTACTGTACTACCATTGTACCAATACTACAGGCTATTTTACCAGGACCGAATTGTGGTGGGGAGTGTAGGATGAAAGAAGAAGTCTTCAAAAGGAAGGGCCTTCAGTCTTGGTATTTATTATCTTGGAGTGATCAGGGTTTGGTTTCGAGGCTTTGGTGGCCCCTACACCCCCTAAACAGCTCTTTGTCAAAATGTACAGTACAATACATGTATCGTACTACCGTACTCTTGAATCAGCATGACTGTGCTCCTACTTCACTACTGTACAACTACCGAACAATGACTGTACCACTTTGCTGCTGCTGTTCGCTGCGGTTCACCCTTCAGCCCACAGCATCCTAAAGGCCTTTATCTCGCTCTCACCAAACTTTTACACCTTTGCAGAGCTTGTCTCTGTCTACAGCCCCGCGACTCCGACTCCACCCCGATTTGCATGAGTGCAGGGAGCGCATTATTCAAATTTTGGAATCTGTTTGGGTGGGGGGGGGGGCACCAAACGCCAGTGCGACATTAAGTTGGTTAGCCGGCATATGCAAATGCCGTGCATATTCTGGTTCAGAATCGCTTAATTTCTCCATGGCCCGCGAGGTATCTGATGCTTCCGGCGGTAGGAGGGTCGCGCTCGACGTGGCCATGTTCTTCGCCACTGGAAGAATGAAGAGACCTGCGGCTAAGATCGGCTAAGCACAGGGAGTCACGACCACAACTGAGGATCTCGATTACTTAGGTGATTTCTTGGTTTCTGTCGCTGACCATGCTGTTTTGTTGAGCGTTAAGTTCCAGACTGCCCGCCGCCAGGGTCTGCGTGACAACGAAATCACCAAGAAGACAACTAAATCGCACTAGCAATTGCCTGGGCTCGGGCTTGGCGATCGGAAGCAATGCTCTCGGGAGTTGGAAACCCGCAGCATCTGTATAAACCTATCTCGGAGGCAACGACGCCTATGATTCAATCCTCTACCCTGAAAGCTACCACCATGCAGACGACATGAGCCACGAATTAATGTTTGACACCGGCCCCGACCCATTCAGCCCAGGCTTGAATGCAGTGCTGCAAGACTGCCTCAAACTATAACAATACTGAAACTCAACTCAAGAGCGCCTGTGAGGTCGACAAGGATGGCATCCATCTCTTTGTTCGTGTTGGCAGCGAAGAAGCCAATGGTGGCACGAACGAGACCTGAGACGCACAGCTATCTTCGACTGCTTGAGCCGCATGCACTGCTTACACTCGCGCTCAACTGAGATGAGACAGCATCTGCGACCTAAAAGAGTAGACAACATCAATGGCCCTGGGTTCCACTTCTCGGCTTCGGATGAAAATGCTTGGTATTCTCTTGAATCCCACAGCATGTCCAGACGGCCCAGTAATAAAAATGCAAGCTGCGCTCAAGTACTCCCTGCAGACCCCGTGAATTCAGACCGACTAGAAACTTGCTGCGCCTTCATGACCTTCCTCTTCCGAAGCCCAGGACATAAACCCAGTTCCAGAGCACTGGCGAGAAGCTGGGCCTCCAACTCATGTAGTATGGCTGCGGGTGAAACTCACAGCCTTCCACAGAATCTGGTAAAGGTCTGAACCAGCAGGATGATGAAGATCATGTTAGTGAAGAGATGTCAAGAACACAAAGCACATATGCATACATATGCGTCTACCTACCTTGCAGAAGCATACATATGTACACAGAAACGTAACTACACAAACATGGAAACAACCGTATACCAATATGGCCTGGCTTCATCCGCGCTCCACTGAAATACGTGCGACGTGAGTATCGGCTTTATATAGAAACAACGACTCCACGCGGTGCGATACTTGTACATGGAAACGGTGCAGTCTTTGTGCCTCGGGCTCGCTCACATGATGTCTGTATTATGTATGTCTGCCCAGTCTTTTGCTAAACTAGCGAAGACAATGTGGCAAAGCTTCGTGCCACTAAGTCTTCATGCAAGTAGATGAAAATCTCATTGCCTCTAGAGAAGCAGCTTATCATCTGCGAGGGTCTTGTTCTGCGAGTGCTGACCTCCCGCCCATGCCTGATTTCTGAACGCACCATCCCGTCAACCCTCCACCTCCGCCAACGCCGTTCACACACCTCTGAGTGCTTGGCATCTAGCCATGAGCTTCATCATTGGCACGAAAACCTTGGAGGTTGGAACGTACCTGAGCTGAGTGAAAGTGCTGAAGGATACAGGGTTTATTTGTTGCAAATCGCAGTGGAGCTCCGGCTGCAGAGTGAATTTGTATCATGTCGAAGGGAAATAGGTCCAGAACACGACATAAGGCTGTGTACGCGGCGGCAACCCTGTGAGGAGAGTGCCTTTCCCCACCATGCAATCAAAAACGGTCCCTCGCTTGCTCAGGCTTCAGAGCCCAAACCTCAACCTCATGGTGAGCACATTAGTCTAAGCTTCGTTACATCCTGTCAAGAGTGCAAACGGAGCACACTGAGGCCAACGGAAGTACGAGAAGACCAACAGCCCTTCGATTAAACGAAGAACCGATCACCCGACATCTCGGGCTTCGGCTCCCTGGAGAAACCGAGGATGTAACCTCACCGGATGGCTGCGGCTGGGACTTTCTCGCTGTGGGGCTCGGAGGCTCGTTTCGTGTCTAAGGTGAAGCTTCGTTTCAGCGTAACACGCCCCTTCAGGGCATTTGTAATCATGCAGATATATAATCATGAAGAGTGTCAAAGTTCCGGTGTCAGTTGCAATCGCTTCCTATTGTTGCTGTTTTTGCTGCTGTTGCCGTTGCGGTTGCTGCTGTTGGCGCTCTTGGTGTTGCACTTGCTCTTGCGCTTGCTGTTGCTGCTCCTGTTCCCGTTCCGGTTCCTGTTGCTGATGGTGGTGGTGCTGCTGCTGCTGATGCTACTGCTGCTGCCGCTAGTGCTGCTGCTGGTGCTGCCGCTGCTGCTGTTGGTATTGTTGCAGCTGTTGGTTGTGTTGTTGTTGCTGCTGTTCTTGTTGTCGTTCAGGTTGTCGTTGTGGTTGTGGTTGTTGCTGTTGCTGTAGCTGTGGTTGTTGTTGTTGTCGTCGTGGTTGTTGTCGTTGTTGTCGGTGATCTCTCGTGTGTCTGTGTGTGTGTGTGTGTGTTGTTTGGTATTTGTAGTGGTAGTTGTTGCTGTTGTTGATGTTCTTGTTGTTGTTGTTGCTGCTGCTGATGTTGTTGCTGTTGTTGTTGTTGTCGCCGTTGCTGTTGCTCGTTTTCTTCTTCTTGTTGTTGTTCTTGTTGTTTTGTTGTTGCTGTTGTTGTTGTTGCTGCTCTTGTTGTTGGTGTTGTTGCTGTTGATGTTGCTGCTGCTGCTGCTGTTGTTGTTGTTCTTCTTCTTCTTGCTGTTGCTGGTTTTGGTTGTTGGTGGTGGTTGTTGTTGGTGGTGCTGGTGATGATGTTGTTGTTGTTGTTGTTGTTGTTGTTGGTGGTGGTGGTGGTGGTGGTGGTGGTGGTGGTGGTGGTGGTGGTGGTGGTGGTGGTGGTGGTGGTGTTGTGCTTGTTTTTTGCTGTTACTGGTGGTGCTGCTCTTCCTAGTCTTGTTATGAAACTGCGGACGCTCCTCGTACTGTTCTCGTTCGTCTTCTTCTTGTTGCTGTTCTTGCTGGTCGTGCATCACCAACACAAGGAAGACATTTAGCTGATGAACAGCGGCGTATGAAAACATATACGAACAAAGTCCTAGATTCAATGCTATGCGGTGCAAACCGAACGTTGTTACTCCCCCCCCCCACACCCCCTCCCAACAAGTGAACATGTGCAAACATACGAGAGGGGTCAACCAACAGCCCTCCAACTAAAACTGCAAACAATACTTTGATGCCTACCAATACGGTCGAGATTACCGGCTACTACCACGGCCAGGATCAAAACCACCAGCACCACTACGACAACGACCTGCGCTGCTGCCACTGAGCCAACATGACAGATACTTGTTCTGACTCGACACCTCCACCAACACCACCAGCAAATGGACAATGACAGGACCGCAAATCGCCACAGTACTGCTACTACTGCTCGAAAAGGACGACGGCAGCCAAACCCGCTGCTACTACTGGAACTACTACCACCCAGACCCAGACTGACACAAATACCAATACTAGCAACAATACTACTATTGCTACTGCTAGTAGTACAAGTACGACCACACGTACTGCTGGCACTACTGCTATTACTACGCTTACTACAACTGCAATACAACTATTACTCCATCTACGACTACTCCTGCGACGACGACTGCTACTACTACTACTACTACTGCGTGGGGATTTGATCTTGATGATGTTCTCTGTCGCTCACCCCACAAAGAGCTATAATGGATAATGGCGTGGTTGCCCTCTACAGACTGGATCACTATTACTTCCACTTCCACACGCGCACTCCTATGCAGGCAGATCCAGCGTTCGCTCGTTTTGCACACTCACGGCCGGCGGTGGATCGTCTGTGCACGGGATAGCTCTGTTCACTCAGGGAATCACAGAAGATTATAGCACTTTAGCTATGGGCAATGCTTTCTAGAGCTTGTGCTCATTCTTGAGCCAAACGTTGCATGGGCGGTCATACAGAAAGGTTGGAGAGGCAATGCGGTGTGCGTAGCACTACCACAAGCTTACTCCTAGAGACGAGGGACGCGTAGCGTGCCCTCTTCCCTTGCACTTTACACGGTCTTGCTCACAGCTCTTATAGTGACACCTTAGAACTTGACAAGGCATCGCAGTCCGTTCGCACTTTCGCACCCCCCATGAGTTGCGTCTCCGACGCTGCTCACCCGGAAGATGGCACGATAGGAATATCAGAAAATTGTTCCGCCGCAACTTTGACATAAAGATCAGAGCTTTGCATCCCAATTAGAAACGTTGTGACACTCGTCTACGTCGGTAACGATCCCCTGAAATGGCAAACGAATCAGGCGTCACCGAAGAAAGAAGCATTCGCGATGGAATTCCACGTGCGAAGCTCAGAGGTCACGAACTGAAAGATGGTGTAGATCAAGTGTTGTCCCGCCACCATCTTCGCGTCGACGTAGGATCGCGCTCCCAGGGCCGGAGGTTCTCCTCTGGATACTGGCTTTTCTGCTTTCCTTTGTCCTTGCCTTTGTTTCGGCCTTTACTGGCGATGTAGTCATGGTAGGAATTGGTGTTCCAGCCTCCATGTTGTTCATTTCCAGTTCTCTCACGCCCTTTTGAAGGTCCCTTTGTCGAAGAAGCGCTTGCACGTTCCTCCGTAGTGACGGGCGTGTCCATGATGGAAGTACCACCCGGAGGGAGATACTCTTCGGCCGAGATATGATGTAGTGCTTCAGGACGTCGAACATTCGGATGTTGCTGTCTCTCAACTCTGGATTTGACCAATTTGTCCAGGAAATGTGCAGGCATTTGCACGTTGTGGTCCACCAGCAATCCAATGGTCTGGACTGAATGATCAGCGTGAGTCAGGAGGATGCCGACGGGGTCGATGTACAGAAAGTCCACCGGTCCAGTTGGTGTAGGTCGTAGTACCGAAAATTGTTGATGTCCTGTCACCATCGGAATCACTTCGCAAAGGACGTTCAGGCAGCAGAAATGCATCGCCTTCACATCTTCATCCCTGTCACTCTTCAAGTACGTGGTAGGATTGAAGTTGTCCCTGCCGATTCCCATCATGTTGGCTCCCCGCGTGAGCAACGAGAGCATCTGGTTCGTCCGGAAGCGTTTCAAAGTGTAAGTCCCGTTGGGATCATACGACTTGAGGTTTTCAGGCTCCTTGGCGAAGCGAATGATCTCCTCATCAGTCACATCCCTACTCACACCTGTTTCTCTGTCCACTTCAGCCAACGTTCCCCACTTGCCGAGCACATCATAGCGTTGGCCATGCGCGAAATTCTCTTTCATCTGAAACAATGGCATAGTTGCCCACTTCGCGAATCCTGACCAAGCTTTGTAGATGGTTCTGCACACCACGAATGCCATATACGAAAGAGCAGCCATGTTGGCGTCGATGCAATGGGCATTTCGTTTTCCTGGATAGTAGGACGGCTGCATGGCGGTGCGGGCGAGTTGCAGTTCAGGATCGATGTTCAAAGACTGGCCGGCGATGAGGACGGGACGTCGTTCCTGTGCCACTGCATCTGGTACTCCATCATCAAAGTCCTCTCCTGGCTCCGTGTCCATTTCTTCATCAGGTTCCTGTTCTGGATCGTCTTCTCCGACGACAGATGGTTCCGGAATTCCTTCAGGTTCCGCAACTGTCTCTGTCTCCATGGCTTCCTGTTCCTCGACGGTTGCCTCGGGCACTGCTGCTGCCGCAGCCTCCATTGTCTGAGCAATGAAGTCACTGGGGATCTCCGTAGGAGTCTCCCGTTGTGGAGTACCTTGGTAGTATCCGCAAGAAACGAATTGCGACCAGCAGGATGTGCATCGAGAGAAGCATGCTGGAACGATGTTGTAGCACGCCGGGCACACCCTCATTCTCCTGCCATCCTCATCTCTTCGTAGATCTTCGGGTCGCCAGTTCTTGATGACAAACTTGATGCCTTTGTCCATGTAGTGATGC